CAGTGGGATGTGCTACAAGACTCAGCCAGACCAGCAATCTGCTGCCAGCTTTGGCCCCTAGGGAAGTTTTGAGAGGGAATGGTTGTGTCCTTAATATCACATTTAATAACCTTAAATAAGCATAGGTATACTCTAGCTTCACATAAGAGATGACTCAGAGTTGGTAAGCAAGAAATTTGCTGAAGGAAGGAAGCAAAAAAGAAAAGAAGGAAAGAATTTAGTTCCCATTTATAGCTTAGTCATTCAGAAATTTGAAATTATAATAAGTCACTAAAACTGGGATTAGTGACAGACACACTATAAAACACTATAAAAATGTGCTGAAATCCCAATGGGCAGAGGAAGTTGAAGATGCAGTGGGGTAAAGGAGAGTCTATCCAATCATGGGAGAATGGGGCAAAGGAAAGAATCAGAGAAACAAGATGGTGCCTGCTAGCCAGAGGAATCTGCGTTCCTTTCCTCCTGGCAGCACTGGAGCAATTCCCACAACTCTCTGAGCATCTGGAACTTATTTGGCTATGGGTGGAGGGAGACCAGTGACAGCTAGTGTGACTAGTGGCTTTCTAGAAAGATGGGATAGAAAAGCTCAGGGCCTGACACGACCAGAGAGCTGAAGGAGAAAGGAAATGACCAATAAAAAGAAGCAGAATTGAAAGGCTTCCTGGATGCTTCTGGTATTTAGCTCATGCAATGGAGTCCCAGGAAAACAAGGTCTCCAAAAGGAAAAGAAATAGCGTCAATGTTGCTGGTGAGGTAAATGAGCTTTCTAGACATAGATCACTCAGGGATTCTTAATATCTATGTATAGTCACACACTTAAAGCTTTAAAGCTTTATGCAAGTGTTAGATAGTATTTTATGTTAAAATACAAAACCAAAAAATGAATGTAACTGTTGCATTCTGAGTTCCCTAGAAATAGACTCTGAGATGAATATTTGCAGGCAGGGAGTTTATTGGGACATGCCCAGGGATTCAATATAGGAGGAGGAGGGAGGGAAGTAGGATTGGGTAGAAGAAATTGGACTGCAATGGGATCACAACAAAGGTCTCTTAGCCAATCCTACAGGGAACTCTGGAATTGTCCTGCTTTGGAGCAAAGTAGCCTGGGCCTTCATACCTGGGCATGGACTAGTCATTAGATGTGGGCTGCCTATGAACTTGAGTGAGGTGACTCTCTTTAGGTGAGGACAATTATCAGCAGAGGGACTTGTCTGAGAGCCATCAAGCTGCCAATATTCCTAGCAGCCAAGGGAATAGGTTGCCTCAGTCCAACCGGGGGGGTCTGAGTGGCACACCATAGCATCCAATGCAGCCAAACCTTGGCACTGGATCTACTAATTTTGTATAAAAAATTCTGGGAACAGCTCCTCCAGGATCCTGGTAGGACTCTTGTCCTGGGGAAGCTTACAAGAGGAAGGTTAGTGGGACCTTTGTTACTGTTCCTGGTCTGAAGGTTGCAACTGGTATTCATTGTGTCCCTGCTCTACAACCCATTTTAGTTTCTCTCCCCCTCAGCTCTGCTGTTCAGGGGGCTTAGTGGGTGGGCTTCTGGTTACCATGTCCTTCTCAGGTTATGGCAGCTAATATTGTCTCCATTTACCATCAAAATTGGGCAAAGGGATATCAAGAGATGCCCAGTCGATCACCAGGACCTCCTAACCCACAAAGCCCAGAGTTGCAGGGACAAGAAGCACAAATACCACAAGTGGGTCACTGTGAGTGATGGTAAGCAAGGTTTGGGGACACTCCTACTTCCTTCTCTGGGGTCCCAGAGCTATGTGTTAGACCTACTAAGAACACAGGCACATATAATAATGGTAGATTTGGGGTATATGCTACATCCTGGAAAATGTTACTCTGTCTTTGCAGGGTATCGCCTACAAAGTGGCCATTTCATTACTTTGTCAAGCTGACAGCTTACAGAAGCTGTATGGTATGAAATAGGAATAGTGGATCCCATGGTCATGTGCCACTGCTGCTCCAACTCTGTTGTAAAATGGGTTCTTGGGCCCAATTAAAATAAAAGGTAGGATTTCATGTTGGTGGGGCAGACACTCTATAGGACGTCAGATATGGTGCTGGCTGGGGCCCTGAGAACAGGAAAGGCAACCGCATACCCAGAATACGTGTTATTCCAGTTGAAATGAATCACTGCCCCTTCCAGTGTAATCAATTCGCCATCAAGTGGCTGGTTGATCTTCTGAAAGAATGGAGCCTTGTTGAGAGCTCTCTTGGTGGCAGATTGCACAGAGGGAGGAGTAAACAGTGATGCAGTTGCCACAAGGGATCCGACTCTGGGACTGGGATGACCCTTCAGAGGTGTCGCTTCTTGAGGCAAGGGAATCTGGCCTTATACCCCATGCCCTATCATTGACCAGTCACTGGAAGTAGCTATCCCCAAGGAGAGGGGTATGACCTGCGCAAGGGAGCTTTCTTCAGTTGAGGGCAGTTCTTGGGGAGACACTCAGCAGAGAGCTGGCAGCCAACTTTCGCAGCAGGTGAGGGAATGAGTGCCTCAATCCTGAAGGATAGTTGCCGTCTTGTTTTATGGCATAAAACCCATTGACCTTTCCATTAATGATTTATTTACATGTGTCTACATTCTAAAATTGATATCTCCTGATAGAAAAAACATATTATTATATTATTGTATATATTTTATGATAAATATTTAAAATTTTTATTTTCAAATGAAAATAGCTATTAGTTTAATTATTTAACTTCTCTGAATTTACTGTGGCTTATAGTATAATATGTGATCATATCTATTCCCCTTATTTCTGCCTAAAGAAGTGGAGTAATTTTGGTTTTAAAATATATACATATATATATACATATGAATATGAAAAAAATATGGAGGGAAAATTTTAACAGTGGTTAACCTTGGCGGGTTGGATTACAGTTGAACTTAATATTTCTCTTTTCATGTATCTGTATGTTTTCATATGCATTACAATGAACACATATCACCTATTGCTTAGAAAAAGAGAAACTCTTTAATAAAATGAAGAAAATAAACATATTAACTGTGTTTAACAGGAATTTGGAATCTCAGTTGTAAATGGGATTCTTTTTACACTTTTGTTCTGGCTATTGGTCGTAACAACTATTTTAAAATCTGTTTGTGTTTCCTGCTGACCACTTGAGGAAATGAGAAATTGTCCACTGTGAGAAAGGGTGCTTAGCAGAGATGGATTTGCACTGCCTGTTTACTTTCACATGTCTATGTCTCTTGTGGACAATGTTTGAGTAGTGCCTGGCCCTTGTGAGCCATGCGGGCAATGTACCTTTATTATTTTCCTCTATGAATAAGCCAAGTTAATTGACCTGTGCTGGGATCAACCCATGTCCTTAAAACCCCTAAAGGCACAGGCAGTACAGACCTTTGCTTTCAACAGCTTTCATTTCAAATAATTAGAGCTGCCTGGGCTGCTTTGGGAAATGCTGGTTTCTATGATATTAAAGACTGAAGTGACTACTTATTATGTTTTAGGATTGGCTACAGGTTTTCAAGCAATGGATTAAGGGTTGGTCTAAATAATGTCTTAAAATATGATGTTCCTTTAAAATTACATAAATAATATGTGTTCACTGTAGAAAAATGAGAAAATGGAGATAAGCTAAAAAATGCCCATAATTTTACCACTTACAGATGACCACTGTTAAGACTTTGGTGTCTTTTTTTTCAAATGGTTTTCTATGTCTGATGTATATAATTATATAAGTAAATATGCATACTTATAGTTCCTAGTTTCTAAGATATACTTTCCTACCTTTAACATTTCTGAAATTGAGATGCAGTTTTACAATCAATGACTAAATGTGATAAAGTATTACTCTTCTTCCCCCAAATAGCTATAATTAAATGTAGTCCATGGTATTTTGAAATTGAGAGAGATTTTTAACTAAATTTTTATTTTCAGATAATTGTAAATTCACATATAGTTGTAGGAAATAATACAAAAAGATCTTGTACCCTTTACCCAGTTTTCCCCAATGGTAACATCTTGCAAAATTATAACACAGTATCACGACCAGCATTTGACATTGGTACAGAACATTTCCATCACCACAAGGATCTCTCGGGTTGTCCTTTTATAACTGTACCTACCTTCCTTCCAACCCACGCCTCACCTAGACTGTTACCTCTGGTAGCCACCCATATGTTCACCATTTCTATAATTTTGTCTTTTCAAGGATGTTGTATAAATGGGCCAGATGCTGTGACTCATGCCTGTAATCCTAGCACTTTGGGAGGCTGAGGCAGGAGGATTGCTTGGGGCCAGGAGTTTGAGATCAGCCTGGGCAACATAGAGAGATCCCATCTCTACACAAAAAATAAATAAAAAAATAAGCCAAGTGTGGTGGTGTGTGCTGGTAGTCCTAGCTACTCAGGAGGCTGAGGCAGGAGGTTCTCTTGAGCCCAGGATTTCCAGGCTGCAATGAGCTATGATCGCTCCACTGCACTCCAGCCTGGATGACAGAGTGAGACCCTCTCTCTGAAAAAAAAAAAAAAAAAGTTTTATAAATAAAATCATACTATATATATATTTTTATTTTTGGGTTTTTTCACTCAGCATAATTATCTGGAGATTTATCCAGGTTTTGCATGTATTGATAATGTCTTTTTCTTTTATTGTTGAGTAATATTCCATGGTATGAATGTACCTAATTTTCAAAAAATATATGTTATTTAATTAGGTAGTTTGTTTTATTTTTGAGATAGGGTCTTGCTCTGTCACCCAGGCTAGAGTGCAGTGGTGTCATCATAGCTCACTGCAACCTCAAACTCCTGGACTCAAGTGATCCTCCTGCCTCAGCCTCTCAGAATGCTAGGATTACAGATGTGAGACACCACACCTGGCTAATTTTTCTATTTTTTGTAGAGATGGGGGTCTTGCTCTTGCTCCAGCTGATCTCTAACTCCTGGGCTCAAGTGATTCTCTCACCTTGGCCTTCTCATGTGCTAGGATTACAAGCATAAGCCACTGTGCCTGGCCTAATTAGGTTCTTTGTAATAGATTTAGAACGCCAATTTGTGAGGATAAACTCCATTTGTCAGGGCAAACACAGATTGCAGGTAGCCCTGGAGCTGAGGAATAGCATTGATTTTTAGTAAAATTTGTGAGTCCATAGCTTTGTGATCAACCTTGCGCTGCTCTATAATCTCATATTTCTCTTTTCTGTGTTGAAGACCTCACCTCCGGGTGCCTGGGCTTCTGCAGCTACTTCTTCTTGAAGTATCAGTAAGATGTTTTGGGATTTACACATTGCTGATATCAATTTTTGTGGAGGTGGTGATGACAAATTTCTGGTGTGTTCTTTGCAGAGGAACTCAATTGAGGACCAGAGGTCTGGTCACAAGTAACAAGCCACTGCTCAGGCAATTCTAACAGGAAAACCACCCTCTTGCCTCTGCGGCGTCCAGTGAGGATGATCAGAAGGGTCTAGGAAGGATGATGCTAGCTTGCTGTTTTCTCACATGTTGACTGAAGGGTTTATTTGCTGTGATTCAATAGCTTTAGAGGCACATCCTCAGCAGGATAATATCTAGGCATTTTGTGAAGTTTTACTATCCAAGTACCACCATTCTTGTTACCACCGATGGTTTTTTTTGTTTTTTAAAGGCTGGTCAAGTGAAGCAGTGGGAGTCACCAACTGGTTTTGTAATAGTGACAAGGACCTTCTCGTTTTTTTTCTTTTCAATCTTGGATTTAGCCACTGAGTATTTCCTTTCGTACATGACCTTTCTGGAATACACAGCAGATCGGGAATATCTGCTGACTCCTTTGACGAAGATAGGATTTCAGCTGTAGTGAGGCTTCCCCTTCTTGGGATTTTTAGTCTTGAGGGTACCCTTTTTAACCTTGCCACTTATGTCAGCCTTTTTGGCTTCAGGTTTCTTCTCCTTAGTATCCGGCTTCTCAACTTTTTCATCTGCCATCTTGCAAGAAGGAAAAAGAGAACTAAGCTCTAATTTTTTAGCTGTTCACTCATTGAAGTACATTCGGATTGTTTCCAGGTTGGGGTATTACAAATAAAGCTGCTATAAACATTCAGGCACAGATTTTTATGTGAATTTAAGCCTTCATTTCTCTGAGATAAATGACCAGGAGTGCAATTGATGGGTTGTATGGTAGTTGCTGGCTTAATTTTTTAAGAAACCGCCAAATCGTTTCCCACAATGGCTGTACCATTTTTCTTTCCACTGGCAATGTTTGAATGATCTGGTTTCTCTATATCCTTATCAGAATTTTGGTGTTATTTTTATTTTAGCCATTCTGATAGGTTAAGTCAATTTTCTTAATAGTTACAGTATTCTTCAAATGATCTATTTTGTATTGGGTGAGTTGTGCCATTTAATCTGAGTTGTCAAATTCACGTGCATATAATTGTTTGTAGTATTCCTTTATTATCCTTTAGATGTCTGCAGGGTCTGTAATATCTCCTGTTTCATTCTTGGTATTAGTAACTTGTGTCTTCTTTCTTTTTTCTTCATCAGTCTTGCTAGAGGTTTATCTGGTTTTTTTTTTTTTTTCTTCTCTCACCCAGCCACGCACCCACTCACCCATTTACCCACTCTCTCCAAGGTTTATCTATTTTATTGATCTTTTCAAAGAACCGGCTCTTTGTTTCAATGACTTTCTCTATTCTTGTGTTTTCAATTTCATTAATTTCTGCCCTTTGTTATTTCCTTCCTTTGCTTTGTGTTCATTTTGCTCTCCTTTTTCCAGGTTTTGAATCAGAGCTTAGATTATTGATCTGAGACTTTTTCTCTTTTCTAATATGTGCTTTAATGTTATACAGTTCTCTGAAAGACATATTTTATATTGAATAGGGAATAAATGTGTACCTGCTGTTTATAGCTCCCTACTGAGGAATTCAATTCAGTTCAATAAATATTTATGGAGTGCCTGGCCAGGCACCGTTCTAATTCCTCGGTGTATGTCAGGGAACAAAATAGACAAAGATCTCTATTTTTGTAGAGTTCACATTCTAACAGGGGGATATAGGCAATAAATAATAAGCATAATTTATATACTATGTTAGAAAGTGATAAGTGCAGGAACAAAAAGTGCTATAACGTAAGAAGGAATGGCTGTGTAGGGAACTATAGTATTTAATACCACAGTATTTACTGAATGACGCTTATTGCTACAGTTGTAGAATGAAATAAGTTGGTCAAGCAAGGAAGCCACTATCTGTAAGAAGTGTGTTTCAGGCAAGATGGGGCAGCTGGAGCAAAGGCCTCATGGTAAAAGCATGCCTGGAATACCTGAAGAGATACAAGACCAGTGTGGCTGGAGTAGAGAATGAGCAAAGGGAAAGTGGTGAAGATGGGGTCAGAGGAACAGGGCTAGGGCTTTGGCTTTCACTCTGAGTGAAATGGGGAGCCATTGGCATATGTGAAGCAAGGGAATAATGTGACATGACTCAGGCTTTACAAGAGTCACTCTGGCTACAAGACTGGGAATAGATTATGGGTAGAAGCAGGTGACCTCTTAGGCTACTGGAGTAATGCAGGTGAAAGGCAGTGTGGTTTGGAGCAGAGTGGTAGCAGTGGCAGCAGTGAGAAGTGATTACGTTCTAAATATATTTTGAGAGTAGAGCTAATAGGATTTCTACATAGGCTGGACGTGAGGTGTTAGAAAAAGAGAGGGATCTGGATAACTAGCTTGACGTAAATCTTTAAACATAGGTGGCCACGTTCAATACCATATGCACACCTCTAGCCTCTACAACCCTGTTCACTACTTGTTGGGCCATGGCAGGCCCTTACCTAGGGGCAGCTGATCAATAGGTTGAATGTTGGCATATAGGGCATCCAGGCATGAAAGTTTTGCCCAAATACTTGGCAATTAACTATGCCAATAAGATTTTTTTCTTTCAAGAATCAGAATTGGAGAGACCAGGAAAAAAAATCATCAATGACTGTAGAAGCTGAAAGACAGGGAGAGAAGGCAGTATTCAGACTTCATGAGTAAGCAGGAATCATGAATAAACAGAGCTCTGAGCAAACAAAAGCCATGGGGCAGCAAACAGACATACAGAGTAATGACAGAAGTGATAGAAGATAACCAAGACAGATCAGATTTCAGAAGAGAAAGTCAATGGCCAGGCCTCACTCACAGGCCAATCCTGGAGCCAGAGGTGCATTTGGTTCCTCTGTTACCAAAGGTGGGAGAATGGTGCTAGACAGTCAAAAAAATGACAGGTGTGCACCTGCCATGTAGAGTCAGGCTATAATCAGTGCTATGGAAGCCAGAACCACATAAAAGTCAGAATTATGAGTATGCAAGGAAGTGAGAGAAAGCAGAGGAAACCTCCTGTCTGCTGAGGGAAGCAGAAAAGTGTAGCAGACTCCTGGAGAGGTAGAGGGTGCAGGCATGTGAGAGGTGGGATTGCTTCTGATCTTCCTGTTTTGGTCCCATCCCAGGGTTGCCCAGCTGTGCTGATAGCTGCACTTTAGTGCCTCAAAAGAAAGCCTCTTGTATGTGTTCAAAATACCTCCTTTTCTACTTGAGCTAGTGTGAGTGGTTTTTGGATTATGTTTCGGGGATAAAGATGATACATTTGGCTGGAAGTTTCTTGGTATCTACTTATGTCTCTGGTTGGAGCATGGCAGATAAGGTACAAAGGGTGAAAAAGTTCAAAAATTTGGTTAAGAATAACTAACTGGAATCATACAAAGCATTTTATATACCTTCTCTCATTTAATCTGTAGTGTGAGCGAGGTACCATTACTAAGGCTCACAGAGATCTAGTACAGTCCATCCTCATTATTCATGGATTCTGTAACTGCAGATTTGCCTACTTGCTAAAATTTATTTGTAAACCCAAATCACTACTCATGGCACTTTTGTGGTCACTCATGGACATGTACAGATCAGTGAAAAATTTGAATTTTCTAACCTGCACACTAGCAGCTCAGGTCGAACAAGGCAATGCCTTGTCTTCTTGCTTCATCTCTTGTACTGTAAACAAGATCCTTTTTGCAGTCTATTCGGTGCTATGTTTTTTCATTTTTTCATTTTTGGTAATTTTGCTGTTTAAAATGGGCCCTGATCATAGTGTTGAAGTGCTGTCTGGTGTTCCTAAGAGCAAGAAGGCTTTTCTGTACCTTACAGAGAAAACACATGTGTTAGATAAACTCCATTCAGGCATGAATTATAGCACTGTTTTCCATGAGTTCGGTGTTAATGAATCAATAATAAATATTAAATAAGGTCTCTCTGAGCAGAAACATACATGAAATGAGGTTATGTATTGATTAGTTGATGAAAATGTGACCAGAGGCTTGCAGGTGCCTAACCTTGTATTTCTCCTATGAGTAACAGTTCATTAGCAAATGCTAATTCAGAGTTTGTGGAGACTTTATAGAATACAATTACCATGAAGAAACGAGAATTCACTGTAACATGTCTAGGATCAGACAATCTGTGGAAGAGTGGAGTGCCTAGCTCCAAAGCCATGCCTCTCTGATTTCATCCCACCATGCTACCTTTCAGAAGAGAAAGGAAAGCTCTTCTGTTCAGCTCCCAGTGCTCCTTCTGCTGCATAATGCTGCCTTCCCTAGAGTTTGTTGCCTAGTTGGAAAATGAACAGGTGTAAAACAACTGTGAAACTGTAGGATAGTCTACGTTAGGCCTGGGATAGTAATGTGTAGCACATTTGCCTTCACTCATCCTTTAAATACATATGGCAGACACTGCTGATCTGTCACAGGCCCTTTTCATGCTGAGCTCAGATGGGGTTTCACAATCCTCCTCAACACAGGACCCCAGACAACCACCACCAGTCGATCAGAGTTGGCATCTAAGATGAAACCTTTATCTTCCTTTGCATGATGACCTTACAAGATCAAGTATACCCTTTTGGGGGTGGGGAACCTGCAGCCTTCTGATTTCAAGATTGTTCTTTTTTGAGCATCAAAGGAGGCAAGAAAAGCTTCATTTTTCTCTGGTGCACCCCTTTTAATAAAAGGATTTGTTCTGTAAAATTTGGATTCAGTCAAAAGGCTGCACTCAAGGATCCAGAAGGCCACATGTGGCCCCAAGGCCGCAAGTTCCCCACCCTATTGTGCTCTGAGTGTCTCAGCTGACTGTTTTGGAAAGGCCTTCTGCAGTCCTTTGTATAAGATTTTGCTTCTGCAAGATTCATTATGATAGGGACGTCTTTCTTGTTCATCTCTGAATCACCTGTGCCTAGAATACTGACCATAGAATTGGTACTCAGTAATGTTTGTTGAACGCCTCCTAGGTGCCTCCTAGGCACCTAGATCAACACCTGTCTTCCTGTCTTCCCCAGGGAGAAAAAGCTCTGATGTAGGCAGATGACAAAATGGAATTCTTAAGGGTACACAGTGGGGCCAGCACAGCTGCGGGTAGAGCTCTTCAGAGGAGGCAGTCAAGGGATTGCAAATGAATCTGAACCAGACAAGTATGTCACTGACGCTCTCTGCTTCTTTTCTTCATTTCTCTTCATTCTCTCCTGTGGCCTACCCTCTTTAACTCTGGCAAGATGGACCTGGGAATCCCAAGCAGGAATAGGGTGGAGGCACACAGGGAAGAGGAGACTTGAGGTGCGCTACTTGAACTGGGATCTAGTCTTGGCTCTGAACAAAGGTACCCGGGCTTTGGCTTCTAGACCCGCTGGGTACCGGTGGTGCTTATTCTCACAAAGCTCTGGCTTCTTACCCCTCCATCTGCTGAGCCCAGTTCCTCTTACTTCACCCTATCTCCTTCCCCCTTCTTCTTTTCTTCATCAGTCATGTCAAATGAGATTTGAGAGGAAATAGGGAAGAGGGGATGGGAAGTTCAACCAGGAAGAGATAGATATGTTTGATTGGGAGTCTAAGGAGGGAATGTCACTTAGTGGGGCAGTATAGCATGGAAGTCAGGATTGAAAGGATATTGTTATTATAATAAGAGGTAGAGCTCAACA